CTATTCATAGTAATAACATTATAAATCGTCAGTGTTTTTTGGTTTAGATTTTGGAGCAGTGGTTCCACATTGGAGTCATGTAGAAAACTTTTTAGAATGTATTTTTTTGAATTTGCTAGACGGTGCCAGAGATACTGAGGGAGTGAGAGAGAGGAAATGTGAGAAAGCACCCCTATGGGGGATGGTCACACCTCAATCCCTTCTCCTCCGTTCTCCTCTCAGGATTTGGGGCATGCATGTTATGCTCCTGGCATGTTTTTTGAGTTGCCGGGTCTGGGACTTGAATGGCACTGTCAGCCATGTGGGATCCAGCCACTTTAATTTCTGTGCTACTAGCTGACCCCCACCTGGGAAGCTTTTAAAAAAATAGTTTATTTCTTATGATAGAGAGAGAAGGGGAAGGGGGCAGGGAGAAACAGGTACTTCCTCCAACAGGGTTGCCACACTGCAAACCACTACGAGTCTCAGTCAGTCCAGATCACACATGGGAATGCATTAATTACACGATTGTGCTCGGGGAGTCCCAAGATGACAAGATGGCCTTTCCCACATGGGTCCAGTTGTGTAACTTCTTTGTCACTGTCTGGCCCAACCTGGAAAATGTTTAATTCCACTACCCATGCTGGACTCTATTCCAGTCTAATCACAGTGTTGGAGGTGGGAGTTTTCCTTGGTACCTTTTAAAGATCTCCAGTAATTCTAATGTGCACCAAAGTTTGGAGATCAAACTATTTATTTTTAAGTTGCCAAGAGGGCATGTGTGCTTGTCGGAGAGTCAGAGAGATAAAACAAGAGGGAGAGAAAGCACCTCCTAGTGGGACATGGTCAAACCTAATCTCTTCTTCCCTAATTCTCCAGCCTATTGGGATTTGGGGCACACATACATACATTTGGAGCACTTGAAGTGTTTTTCAAACCCCTAGGGCCAAGATTCCAACTCTTTGGCTGGCCCTGTGAGATCTGGCTTCCTTCCCTACTAGTCTTATAGGTCTGGCCCAGAGACCACTAGTTTAGAAGCATTTTAACTTCTAGACATTTTATTATAACAATGATATCCCTATGAGGGAAGGACGAGATTTATTCTGATCCTCATGTTATGAGTACAATAATTGGGGTCCTAAAGAAGTTCAAAGCATGATCAAGGTCACAAGTCGTGTGAGCTTCCTGGTAAGTGTCTCTCCTTTGTATGACCTAGTCCAGATTTGGCCCATCAGACTAGATTCTGGAAATGGTAGGATGAGAGAGTGCGTGGGAGTTGAGGGGAGCTGGCCTTGGATGCTCGGTGGATTGAGCATGGGCCTTTGTGTCCGTGGGAGAAACAAGAAAGCCACTTCAACATTGTGCCTCCAGCCCCTCCCGTCAATGCCGTTTCTGTCTATAGACCGCTGCTCTGCATTTCGTTTACAGGGAGACAAAATGGAACCTTTGTGCTGGTGTTGAGGAAAACTATGGAAGCCCACAGCTTGTCTTCAGACTTAATGTCAACTATTTGTCTCCTGTTATTCTCAAACAAACAAGTCCGCCCCATGTTTCCAGGCAGTCTCAAACACTTCCTCCTTTATAGTTCTTTATCGTTTCCCAGTTCCTGCATTAAGCAGGTATGAGAAAAATCTACCACTCTGTAGAATTGTCCTATCTGCCCCACAGGCTGCCGAAGGGGTCAGTGAGACGCGGAGAGGGGCTCTGAGCATGACGACGGGTTATACGAATGAACACTGGTGACAAAACTAGATTCCCTGATCACTAGGCTACACAGAGGCCTTAGAGTTCATTTACTAGAAACTTAGAAGCAAAGAGGAAAGAAACGATTCAAAATCTTCTGAATTTTACCAGCTCAAAATGTGTTTGCACATAGGCCGGCAGCTGGGGTGGTGGTTAAGGTGCTGGACCCCCACATGGCTGACCGGGGGGTTTGCTTTAAAGTGCTGGACCTGGTGGCTTTATCACTCTCCCATCCCCCTTTTCTCTGTCACCCTCTGGTGAGTGCATGTGCCCTAGAGAAAATGTGAAAATAATAATACTAAATAAAATAAAATACATAAATCTCAAAAATATTAATAATGTGTTTCTATAATCTAGCATGATTTATTGGTCCTATTTTACATACGAAGAGGAGAAGAAGGGATATCTAACAGTTCTACGAACAGAAGATGAATCATGAGTTTTCTTTCACTGGAGGTGGACAGGCACAGAGTGGGTGACCACTTGGATGACATGCTCTGTATTACAGGGGACTTGGAATGGGTAGCCTTAAATTCTGAGAGCCTATGTAGGTCTTAGAAGGAGAAATAAAATGCCTTAATTTCCACTTGAAGAAATTATTAGATGAGACTTTCTCTAGCTTAGGGGTCTATTTGATCATAGTTTCCCTCCTAGGGTCGGGAAAAATGGCACTGTGAAGTCTTCTTTTGTTTCTAATTTTATTTTCTTCTTTTTATTTTTTTCACATTCAATCATTGAACATCTTCATAACATATAAAATGAATTTTCCCAGCATGACTACACTGTACATTAGACCAGTCAAAGATTTTACCATACACATTAGCATCAACAGAGAAAATGCATTATTGCAGACGACGGGGACTGGGACTCATAGTAGGACTCTGTAAGACACGGATCTAAATTGGTTTAATGAAAATGGTCTTTTGTTTTTTAATTTCTGCTAAGAATATAAATTGATCTCCAGGATGCCATCCTTTTATAATAAATGCCAAAATTAGTGATTAAGTTACTTTATAAAAATAGTGGAATGACAGTTGCCCCTGTCAATGACGTACTCACTTCCATTCCCTGAGAATTCCTTGACTAGGACAAAAAAGAAGTGGGAAACCCTGGAATGGCCTATCTTGGGGGTGTTTCATACATAAATAAGTCAGTCCTCTTGTATATTGTCACTCTGTCTACACCTGGGCTACTCAGAGTGTGGTCCATAGACCATGAGCATCAGAATCCACCTCACTCGGGAGTCACTTAGAGATGCAAAGTCTCCCATTCCCAAAGCAGGCTTACTGAGCCAGAATGTCTGAGGTAGCACCCAGGTACACCTGGTTCCACAAGCCTGCCAGGTGACTCTACTGCTTGCTAAAACCTGAGAAATGCTGCCCTCAGCTCTCAAACGACGGTCTCCAAACCAGCACCACCTGGGAGCTTGTTCAAACCCATCGGCGGCTCTTTTTCTTTGGGCATTGGCAGGTGATGGTGGAAATATGGTGTGACCGTGTGCCGCTGGGGAGTGCTTTCTTCCTCTGCCTCTCTTTGGCAAGCACATGCACCCTCGGGGCGGGGGGCCATAGAAGGCCATAGAGATGGCGAATATACATGGGAACTTCAAAAAGTTCATGGAAAAGTAGATATAAAAAAAACTAAGTATGGATTTTAAATTTTTTTTGCACCAGCATAAATGCATTTTCCCTGAATTTTTTCCCCTAAGTTTTCTTTTCTTTTCTTCCTTCCTTTCTTTCTTTCTTTCTTTCTTTCTTTTTTTCGTTCTTTCTTTCTTTCTTTCTTTCTTTCTTTCTTTCTTTCTTTCTCTTTCTTTCTTTCTTTCTTTCTTTCTTTCTTTCTTTCTTTCTTTCTTTCTTTCTTCCTTCCTTCCTTCCTTCCTTCCTTCCTTCCTTTCTTTCTTTCTTTCTTTCTTCTTTTTTTTTTTTTTTTTTGTGTAGGGGTGCTTTTATGAGAGAGAGAGAGAGAGAGAGAGAGAGAGAGAGAAAGAGAAATCATCCCCAGGAGTATGGCTACACCAAAATCCCTTCTTCTCCATTCTCCTCTTGGGATCTTGGGCATGCATACTCATGTGTCCAGTGTGATTTTCAAGTCTCTGGGTCCAGTACTTGAACCATGCAGTTGGCCACATTGGATACAGTGCCTCAACCTCCATGCCACCTGCTGGCCCTTCTGTGAATATTTAGAGTCCCTGCATAGATAAAATATTTATAGTAATGAATATATAGAATAAAATTCTTGGGTGAAAACACTGAATTAGAGAAGAATTGAAAAGCTCTCCTGGACTTTTGTGCTGTCTCTCAGTAGTTTATAATACAAACTAACAAATCTTTGGTGCTTTTTCTTTTCCTTCCTTTCAGTTTAGAACAGTCGTTGCTAAATTGGTACTCTAGAGGTGGTTCCAGCAATTTGTGTTTTTGTTTTTTTGTTTCTTTTCTTTTCTTTTTTTTCTTTTAAATGTAATTTGCTACAGGGTGTGTATGTGCCAGAGAGACAGAGAGGGAAAGTGAAAAAGAAGGCTGGCCATGTCACAATCTCTTCTCCATTCTTTCAGAATTTGGGGCATGCACGCACATAGGCCTGGTGTTTTTGTTCCCAAGCCTCTGGGTATGACATTCGAACCACATAGGTGGCCATGTGGGATCCAGGCTCCTTTATCTCCATGCCAGTGGTTGGCACAGCAATCCACGTTTTAACAAGCTCTCCAGGTAGATGCATCCTCAAATTGAGAGCCATTGGCCCCTGTTTCTGTCAAATTTCCCACCTGCATGACTGCACAGAGCATCCAGACCCGTTTCAGCCTGTGCTTGGGACTCAGAAGCTGCTCCCTCTGTCACCCCTTCCCCTAATTCCGGACCAGGAGGTACAGGTTGGAGCTCAGGAACTTGACACATTTACAAATACACTTGGACTCTGGTAGAGAAGATGACAGAGTCCTGAATGGAGACCTTTTGTCCTTCACCTTCCTCTGAGGAACAACTTCCGCACAGCCCCCAGCCTGCTTAGCACATATTCCTTTAAACTAAGAAACCAGAATGCAGAATACCTAGTGACTGTCATGAAGGTCTAAGGCTCCTGAGCATGGCCACCTGCAAGACTTTGGGGGCTCTTGTCACCCCTTCTAGCTCCACAAAGGCCTGTCCTCTTCTCTAGGGGTGGAGCTGTCTTAGGCCCCTGCAGGGATGGTAGGACTCAGAATCCCCTCAGGGTGGCTACTAGTCTCTTTCTTCTCAGGTCCCTGTGAGGAGGTGCTGGCTAACAAGTGTATTTTCCCAAAGGTGTTCGGATCTGTGATATGAAGAAAGCTGCAAAAATGAGAGAGAGAACTGATGCAAGAAGGCTGAAGACAGATGAAGGTAGAGGTTGGGGGCATTGATAATATAAGCTCCTGCTGTGGGGTTGCTGCTCGCTGAAGGATTTGGGGCAGGAAAAGGCTGTGCCCTGTAGACAGCCACCGTGTTACGCTGGTAGAGAGTGCTGGCGCATTCAGGGCATGGAAAAGGGTTGCTGCTGGGAGCAGCAGTTAGCATAATGGCTATGTCGCTGGACTCCCATGTAGTCGACCGTGGTTCGAGTCTGGGACCTGGCGGCTTAAACTCATGCCGGGCGCGTGTGTGTGCGTGCCCAAGATCCCGAGAGGAGAATGGAGGAGAAGGGATTGTGGCGTGGCCATCCCCCCTGGGGGGTGATTTCTCGCTTTCTGTCTCTCTGTCTCTCTCTGTCTGTCTGGCGAGTGCATGTGACCTATAGCGAAAACCTCTCCAAAAAAAAAAATAAAAAGAAAAGGGTTGCTGCTCATTTTGCTCTGGTTTTAGTTTCCCCTCTCCCAGATTCATCCAAATGCCCTAACTTGCAGTTTTTTTCATTTTTCGTTTACTCCACACCAACAAAGATGAAGTCAGGTCTATGCTTGCCAGCTTTGATGCGAATTTTCTAGTGAGAAGCGGTATCACACACCTTCCGTTCCTCAGGCAGAGCAGCACCCGACTTGTGGGAGACAGAGACCTTCCACAGCATGCTCTGGGCTGGCAGATCTGTCCCCAAGCAAGCTCCAGCTTCTGAATGCAGTCTGAGAATACTGTGTGAGGGCTCTTTAGAAAGTACATGGAAAATGTATATTATGAGAAAACTGCGCATGAATTTAAAAATATTTTTGCACTGAATTAAATTCAGACTTTCCATTTATTTCATGAACCTTTTGAAGGCCCTTCATATAAGCTGCATCTCCTTTTGATTAGGCCCCATTTACAGCATGTTTTACTGAATCAGTGTGGAGCTGGCATGATTAATCTTTTAACTCCCTTCCCTTCCACACGTCTGTTGAAATGACCAAAGGACTATAAAATTAGGGGAAGTATGTACCACTTGGGAAAACAGGAGGAGGTAGTTAGTGGCTACTGAAGAGAAATTTTGAGGCATTTCTGCTTGATCCAGTGAAGTTGCAGACAAAAACAGGGAGGGACTGACTTGTTCATGATTTTTTTTTTCTTTTTTCTTTCTTTCTTTCTTTCTTTTTTTTTTTTTTTTTCGGAGAGGTTTTTACTATAGGGCACATGCACTCTCCAGAAAAAGAGAAACAGAGAGACAGAAAGCGAGAAATCACCCTCAGAGGGGATGTCCACACTGCAATCTCTTCTCCTCCAGTCTCCTCTCGGACTCTTGGGCACGCACGCGCACATGCCTGGTGTGAGTTTAAGCCACCGGATCCGGAACTTGAACCGTGGTTGACTACATGGGAGTCCAGCGACATAGCCATTATGCCAACTGCTAACCCCAACGATTTGGTGTTTTCAAAGGAGCTGGAGCTTGGCAAACTAATGTGTAGAATTTCTAGCAAAGCACCCCTGCCCTGAATTCCAAAAAACTCTGGCAAACACGTATAGTGAAAAGCTTCTGAGTTTTGAGCCTGTGAAACTTGATTTCAAACCTGCCACTTGTTTGCTGTGTAAGCTAGTCTCAGTTTTTTGTTTTCTTTTTAAGAGGTTTTTGCCTCAGGATGCATGTAAGTGGGAGTAAGGGAGGGGTGTAGACAAAGATAGTGAGAAGGAAAGTGAGAAATCATCCCCCATGGGGAATGGCCACACAGCAATCCCTTCTCCACCATTCTCCTCCCGGGATCTTGAGCACACACACACATATGTCCAGTGTGTTTCAAGCCCCACCGGGTCTGGGACTTGTCCACCATTTGGGAGTCCAGTGATGTAACTGCTATAATTGGTCCCCAATTACTCTCAGTTTTACCCTTTGTTAAATGGCAATAATATCTTCCTTATCAGGGGTAAGAAGGATTACCTGAAGTAGCACTGGCTAGGAAATGTAGCAGACAGGGTAATAGTTACTCTTGACATTGTCCAATGCTGTGCTAAAAGCTTTGCAAAAATATCTCTAATGCGGGCTAGCAGATGGCGTAGAGGTTACATTGCAGGCCTCCCACAGGACCAACCGTGGTTCGAATCTCAGACCCAGTGGTTTGAAACTCATGCAGGGTGCATGTGCATGTGTGCCCAAGGTCCCTGGAGGAGAATGGAGGAGAAGGGATTGTGGCATGGCCATCCCCGCTGGGGGTGATTTCTCACTTTCCCTTTCACTTGTCTCTGTCTCTCTCATGAGTGCACACACCCCAAAGCAAAAACCTCTACCAATAAAAGAAAAAAATGACCTCTAATGCACAAGAAAGTGCTATGAAGTTGGTTTTATTCTAATCACCATTTTACAGGTAGGGGACTGGAAAGTTAGGAGGGCTGAGAAATTTGCTCAAAGTTCACAGCTATTCAGGGGGTAGAGCAGGAATCTGAAGCACTCTAAGTGCAGAGCCCATGCTTTCAAACCTCAAAAATATATTAGTCTTTACAACAACCTACAATAACCGTTTTTATTCATTAAAAACTAAATAAATGTAGTTCAGGGTTAAACAATTAGAGTTTTCACAAATTTGAAACCAAGCACACGACTCCAAGCCCACTGCTCTTTTCCATTCTGTTGTTCTTTAATTGGTATACTCCAGAGAATGTCACCTGTCTCCCAGTTTTTGATTTGATTTGATTTCTACTTGATATAAAACAGGACTCCAGGGGCTGGCAGGTGGCAAGGTGGTTAAAGGCACTGGATTCCCACATAGCTGACCGTGGTTTGAGTCCTGGATCTGGCGGCTTGCTTTCTTGCTGTCCTTTTACCTCTGTCTCTCTCTGGTGAAATTGAAAAAAATAATAACAACAAATGGAATTAAATAAATAAATAAATAAATAATGCTTAAACAAAACACAAAATGGAGTTCCAGTACCCGCCAATTCTTTGAAGAATTGAATATTTATACCCGAGTGCCTCTAAGTCACCTGCGTTTCTCTTTGTTGGTAGGACTCACAGAAAACATTGGACTTCCCCTGAAACTGCTTGAAAACCATGAGCCGTGGCCAGCCTATGTCACATATACCTCCTCAGTGGTGAAAAAACTCATTGAGAAGAGCAAAACTAGAGACCTGGAATGCATGCGTGCTCTTGAGGAAAGCCTGCGGGTAGCGAGGCAGAGCAAGCCTCCCGGTGTCATTCAGCTGAAAAGAAGGAAGTCCTCTGGCGAAGCCATGATCAAGGACAAGCTGTCAGAGACCACACTAGCGAAGTGGGGTGCTTACTCTGTATCTGCCACAGGTCCTACTGTTTTCCCAGAACCCATTCACTTACAAACAGATTCCAGAGAAAGTCCCACCACAAACTATAACAAGATCATCTTCTCCCGAAAACCTATGAGGTTGCTTCCGTACAACTCACTACTAGCCAACAAGGAGAAACATTCCAATATTTAGCAAGAAGGCCCTGCAGCCATCCCCTATGAATGTATGGCAATTAAGCTCCATTTGCCACCAATTTCACTATGTCCTGTGAATGTGAACTTGCTCTCGCTTGTGCAGAGGCTGGCTGAGAGGAACCAGCTCAGACAGTGAGCTGCGGGTGGGTGAGCGTTTCCACTCCAGCATTGCAGTTTGGTAACATTGGGCTGCCCCAACTTTCTGCCAAAGATGCTTAGGACTAACGGTGGGTGTAATAGTCTAGGTGCATGCGGGAGACAGCACGTCAGCTATTTTATCAGAGATAATGTAACGTAACGAATGATTAAGCAGGTAACTGAAAAGGACAGAAAGAATTACAAAGGTATCCATGGAGATAGTATGTGCAGGAAACACTTTTAACCCCCAAGGCTGGGAGAGCAAAGGGAAGAATCAATTTATTAAAAGTTAGCTGCTTGGAGAAGGGGTGTGTGGGCTGAATCTCAGACTTCTGAGTTGGGGGCGTGGTGATGCTGTTCAGCTAGTTCTGGCATTTCTGAGCTCGGGGCTCTCCCTGTGGAGATGGTACCCTTACCTTTGAGGATGGGGAGCTGTTTGGCTAGTGTCTCTGAGGGGACACCTGAAGACGGTTCTGTGATTCTTGGAAAAATCTAAAAGTTGGATTCCAATGTTTCTGGAAGAAGTTGCCACTGCCTGGGTGGACAGAAAGGGGTGCCTAGGGGAAGCTGATGGAGACAGGAAATCAACAGAACAGGAAGCAAACAGTGAGTTCCTTCTTCCTTCTCTAGCCTTGCAGGCTCCCACTAGTGCCCCCCACCATGAGCAGAACTTATCAGGGCATAAAACAGGAATATGAATCACAGAATCCCAACCCCAGCCTTTCCAAGCACAGAGAGAAGCATGGATTTTGAAGTTAAAGTAAGTTAGCTTAATAACCAACATGGCAGGGTTCTAAGGTGTCCCACCCCACTTCTCCACTTGGTATTGAGATCATTTTTCCTTGGAGTGCTTACAAAGTGGCAGTGGGGGCCAGGGTGTCCCCTGCTGAGAAATGGGGAATTGCTTTTCCCTTTGTACTTCTTTAAGATTTGCCTTATGGAGCAGAGTTGGCAGGGGAGAATTTCCCGGCTGGACCCCAGCTGTTATTTGTCAGATGACAGCCAGAATTGGCCCACCAATTGAGTTGGCCTCAAAGCAAAAGACGCTGAACCTCCTCCATCTCCAACAGGCAAGCTCTGTCTTTAGACACGAGGGGGGCCAGGTTATGACAGGTGGATCCAGTTGGCCTAGTGTTTGGGGTTTACCTACTAAGCATGGCTTACTTTCCCTCAGTTTAAGTTTTTTGTTTTCAAGGCAGTTAGTACCCACACCACTTCCATCACAGAGATAGGAGGATGTGAAGTGCTTATCGATCTAAGTGCCATTTGAAAAAGTTGAATTTGCCCTACTGTGCATTTTTCTCCATCCAAGACCACTGCATAAATATTGCAGGCATTTATGGATGGACCTTTGGAGAACTCATGTTGGCTCCTGTGCATTTGTGTTGGCACAAATGCACAGGTTAGGCGCTCCAGATCCATTCCTGGGTTCCCAATTCCTGGTCAGAATGGATTCTTGCAAAAATATAGGTGATTTCCAGGGAATTGGAATGATTGTATTTTTGTCTTCATAAAATACTTATAGACAAGGAGTCAGGTGATAAATTCCTCCAACAAGATTTTTTTTTAAAGAATCTCTTCTATCTTTTTGGGGGCTGTTTATGGTCCAAGAATATGTGGGTATGGATTATAGAGCTTCACTGAGTGTTTTAGAGTTTATAGGGATTTGGAATGATCATCTCCAGTCCCTTCAAGGGCAGAATGGTCTGGTAAGTTATCAAAGATTATACAGTTGGTTTATTTCTTTACTTAAAAAAATTTTTTTTTAGGCATTTAGCAGTTTTTACAAAAGTATGTACCCTCTAAATTAAAATGATTGTTTGATAGATAGCATTATTTAATTTAATTCTCTGCCTATTATGAGTGTGAGTCAAGGATGACATTAATACATTTTGTTGTGATGAACATTGCCTGTGTTCTGTGACTGCAATCTAGAAACTTCACCTTCTGAGGTAATTTTAAGGAACAGAAAGTCTAATTTATTTTACGACGGGGAACTCTGTGTGAGTCCACACTGGCATTCACAAGCCTAACCAACATTGCTCTTGCCCAGTCAAGACAATATTCACTGGAGGACTGAGGAGGGGAGAAAACTTCCAGGGAAGAAGCAGTTGGTTGAGACGAGCTGGACTCGGTCAGTGGGGGAGGCCTTGGTCCCCTCAGGGTGGTGGTGGAAAGTGGTTCTGAATGACCTGGGGTGCCTGATGCTTAGATTTGTCTTCTGGTCCACACCTTCCTTAGAGCTCAGGTGGGGACCAGAGAGTCAAACTCTCAAAGGGCTCTTTCCC